TTCCTAGGTCCGTGGGGACTCGTGAACAGACAGCAGGCCCACCTGGGACAGGGGAAATAATCTCATAATCACCCAAGACTCTCAAACACAGGCTGAGAGGGCCAGTCCCAGCGTGCAGCCCACCTCCTTTGCTCTGACCCACAAAGGGACCTTGCTCTTAATGGAACCGGGTGTCAACTGGGCTACGTGGACAGAACGCAGGTGAGGGCCGACTCCCTCCCATCCCATGGCAGCTGGTGGCAATGAGCTCCTCCTCCCGCTCAAAGCCCCTCGGCCCTGCCCCTGCCCTGGGAAGGGGCTCACTGCCTTGGGGAGAGAGGCGGCCTTGCTGGTCTCTTCTGTCTGTGAGTGGTTCCACGGTTCCAGTGACCTTGGCTGCACATCTAGGGGGTGCTGTGAACTTCCCCTGGGAGCAGGGCAGTGCTTCAGAACTCAGCTTGCAAGAAGAACAGGACGGAGCCCTAGTGGCCACATGATTAAGCACTCAACTGCGAACTAAGACATCCATGGTTCAACCCTACCAGCCACTGCACGGGAGACAGGTACCTTGACTGTCACCTTGGAAACGCTGTGGGGTGGATCTAGTGTGGCCAGTAGAAATGAAGAGCTGGAACCCACCAGAGAGTAGCCCGGTTCACTCGTGGGGTTCTGGGAAGATCAGAAGCATCGGCCCAGAGGCAGGGGACACTCCTGCCCGGGTTGAGGAGCCAGCAAGGGCAGAGGCTGCAGGAAAGGCGGAGATGGAGATGCTGCCCCAGCCAGGCAGGCCTCATCCGGTTCTACCGTTCCAGGGAGCAGGCATCCTGACCAGGCCTGGTTAGGAAAGCTTTCTCTGGCGACGCTGTAGAGAAGAGATGAAAGGTTAGCCCGGGCCCAATACCGAGCCAGGGAAATGTCCACAGTTCTCAGAGCTCCACAGGCCCTTCTCACATCGGAAACGACCACCAGCAAATAACCCCGTGTGAGCCGAACCCCACCTGCCTAACCCTAACCACATCCCTGTGTTGTCATCGTCTGGGCACGCAGGCGTCCCCATTTCCCACATGGAGAAAAATGGGGTTCTGGGAGGACAGTTGACTTGCCCACGGCCACAGAGCAGAGCTGGGATCCAACCTTCCTCTGTACCTGCCTCCCAGTGTCACCCCAAGATCCTGCCGTTCTGATGGAGCAGCTCGGACGCTCCAGGTCTGTTCTCACTCCCAGGGTCCCCAGTCCCACCCATCATAGCCTGGTCTGGGCCCCTTCTCATCTCTGGAAGTCCGAGCGCGGCGGTTCTCAACCTTCCTGATGCCGGGACCCTTTCAGACAGTTCCTCATGTTGTGGTGACCCCCAACCATAAATTTATTTTCGTTGCTACTTCATCACTGCAATATTGCTACTGTTATGAATTGTAATGTAAATATCTGATGTGCAGGATGTATTTTCATTGTTACAAATTGAGCATAATTAAAGCATAGTGCTCAATTACAAAACACTATGTATATAGTGTGAAAAACATTTTTAAATCATTTTATTGGGGGCTCGTACAACTCTTATCACAATCCACACATCAATTGCATCAGGCATGTTTGTACATATGTTGCCTTCATTCTTTTCTAGACATTTGCTTTCTATTGAGTCCTTGGTATCGGCTCTTTTCCCATCCCCTTCCCCCTATTGTGAAATATTTGTGCTTTCCGATGGCCTTAGGCGACCCCCGTGAAAGGGTCCTTCGACCTCCAAAGGGGTCATGACCCACAGGTTGAGAACCACTGTCCTACACGGTCCAAAGGTCCAAGCCTCACTCTCCCTGAGGTTCAGACTTCCAGCTCCTTGGTGGGACGGCCATTCCAAGGTTCACTTCATCTCCATGAGTTCTGTTTCAGGCTACTCTGGAAAGTGGGAATTTGGGGGTCAGTAGTTCATATTTGATTGACCATGCAAAGGCATTTAACTGCGTGAACTAACAGACTATGGACAGCCTTGAGAGAAACGGCAATCCCAGAACCACATGCTATCCTCATGTGGAACCTGTACGCGGCTCAAGAATAGGAGAGCCGCATGGCTTAAAATCAAGAATGTTTGCATCACGGTTGCACCTGCTTACCATGCTCATTCAATCGGTATGCACATCATCAGAGAAGCGGGATGTTAGGAAGAACGCGGCATTTGGATTGCAGGAAGGCTTATTAATGACCTGAGAGGTGGGGGAGGGAGGGGACAAAAAGGAGCTGATGCCAAGGGCTCAAGTAGAAAGAAAATGTTTTGAAAATGACGATGACAACCTAGGTACATATGTGCTTGACACCATGGATGGATGGATTGTTATAAGAGATGTAAGAGCCCCCCCAATAAAATAGTTTATAGAAAATAACTAAGAACATAAATAAAATAATAAAACAAAGGAAAGAAAGGGGAAAAAGAACGTTGGACATTGAATAAGGAAGATGGAAGAGCTGATGCACTTGAATGAGTGTATTCACAGAGAAGCTAAAAAAACACACAGATCTGTCTTGGAAGAAGTACAGCCAGAAAGCTCCTTAGAGGCAAGGATGGTGAGACTTGTCTCACGTCCTTCATACACATGATCAGGAGAGACCAGTCTCTTGAGGACATAAGGCTTGGTAGGGAGGCAGTGAAAAAGAGGAAGGCCCTTTGAAAGGGAGCTAAATTAGGGATAAAAAGGGGTTGCCGCCAAATGCTACAATAAAGGGGTTGGAAAGAAATCAGGCATACTAATTAGACATCTACAGGAAAAATCCAAACGGGCATGCTCAGACTCAAGCCACCTAGGCCCAGGTGGAAGCCAACCTGGGCAGGCCCACATTAGGTATCAGCAATATGACATCACACAGGTGTGCCTACACTCAGCCAATAAGGTCAGCCAGTACCCTCAACCATGCCTCCCAAGCCAGTGGGGACAGGTGGGGAGAAATACCAGACGGTGGGCAACCCACGCTCTCTTGTTCTGTGCTGTCTTGCAGGTCGGTGGGAGTCACCTCAGGGCTCCGCTTCTTTGGGATTTCCTGCTCTTGGTTCAGGTCGGCTTTGAGCTGTTGAGCTCTGCTGGCATTCATTTCACATGATCTTACACACACACACACACACACACCCCACTCACCCCCACCCCGTGTGAACTCTTACACAGTCCCTGCTCAGCTTGCAGGCTTTCCAGAGATGGCAGAGATGGCGTGTACCTTTTGAGATGCGAAACTCCCCTTTCCCTCATCAATGTTACTGGGGTTACAAAAGGGCTTCTGTGTAAATTCTTTCAGCGTTGAGCGGCAAGAACCGAGGTCATCCACCCTAGGAACCCGACACCTCCCCGGGATGCATTAGCACAGCGGCTGCCACAGTGGGCTCAGCCAGAGGAACAATTGTGGGGCTGTAGCACGACTGGGCCAAGTTGCATTCTGTTGTACACTGGGTGGGTACACTGACTCTACAGCACCTAATGATTCTCCCCAGTAATTTTTTTCCAATCACTTGATTGGGGGCTCGTACAACTCTTATCACAATCCATCCATCCATTCTGTCAAGCGCATTTGTACATTTGTTGCCATCATCATTCTCAAAACATTTTCTTTCCACTTGAGCTCTTGGTATCAGCTCATTATTTTTACCCCTACCTCCCCCACCCTCCTTCCCTCATGAATCCTTGATAATTTATAAATTATTATTTTTTCATGTCTTACACTGACCGATGTCTCCCTTCACCCACTTTTCTGTTGTCCGTCCCCCTGGGAGGGGGTTATATGTAGATCATTGTGATCAGTTCCCCCTTTCTCCCCCTACCTTCCCCTTCCCCTTCTGGTATTGCTACTCTCATTATTGATCCTGAGGGGTTTATCTGTCCTGGATTCCCTGTGTCTCCAGCTCTGATCTGTACCCGTGTACATGCTCTCGTCTAGCAGGATTTGTAAGGTAGAACTGGGGTCAGGATAGTAGGTGGGAGGAAGCATTAAAGAACTAGAGGAAAGTTGTATGTTTCATTGGTGCTATACTGCACCCTGACTGGCTCATCCCTTCCTTGTGACCCTTCTGTAAGGGGATGTCCAATTGCCTACACATGGTTTTTGGGTCTTCACTCTGCACTCCCTCTCATTCACAATGATATGATTTTTTGTTCTGGGTCTTTGATGGTACCTGATCCCATGGATACCTCATGATCACAAAGGCTGGTGTGCTTCTTCCATGTGGACTGTGTTCCTGCTCAGCTTGTTTATCTTCAAGCCTTTAAAACCCAGATGCTATATCTTTGATAGCTGGGCACCATTAACTTTCTTCACATTTGCTTATGCACCCATTTTGTCTTCAGCAATAATGTCGGGAAGGTGAGCATCACAGAAGGCCAGGTGATTAGAACAAAGTGTTCTTGCATTGAGGGAGTATTTGTTTATAGGCACAATGTCCACCTGCTACCTTATTACTAAACCTTTAACTATATGTACATAGATCTATTTCCCTATCGTTATATATAAATACCTCTCCAGTAATCTTGAGTGGCCAGCTTTACACACATCGAGGAGCCTTGGTGGCTTAGTGATTACACCTTGAGCTGTTAACCACAAAGCCAGCTGTTCAAAATCACCAGCAGCTCCACAGCGGAAAGAGGAGGCTTTCTACTCCCATAAAGTTAGTCTTGGAAACCCACAAGGGCAGTTCTACTCTATCCTACTTGGCATGAGTTTTTTTACATACATCTGGCTTGTGTTGTTTATGGCTTGGAAGGCAGTGTCATTAAGCTGTGGTCACAATTCACAACAGGGTCTGATTTTTGGGTTTGAGCCTCTCCTAGCAGAGCAGCCTTTTCAGTTACGGACCAGATTAAAACTACATTTCCCAAGAGCCCTCGCAGCCACCATCTTTACAGCCCCCTTCCGGTTTTACATCCAGGCCCCGCCCCCGATCTGCGTGCTGGCCAATAGCGGCCCCATCTCATGCAGGGCATAAACAGGAAGTGGGTGGGAGCGCTTCAGAGGGCGGGGCTCGTGGCCCCGGCTTCGCCTTTGGAGTCGCCGCCGCAGATTCGCCTCGGTGCCCGCCGCAGTCTTCGGCGTTGGACTAGCAGGTCCTTGCTACTGGAGAGGAGCAGGCGTTCAGGAAGCGGGCTTTACCCTCGCGCCGCCGCCCCGCTCGGCCCGTTCTTCGGTCGTCTCCTGCGGCAAGTGAATCTGATGCCGGAACTCAAGGATCCAGTGACTCGGCAGGAGAAAATGGCGACCGTGTGGGACGAGGCCGAGGTGGGCCGCGGGGGGGCCCGGGGCGGCCGGCGGGGACACGCGCAGCGGGAGGGAAGAAGGGCCTGAGGGCGGGGGGCGCGCCCGCGAGGGCGCCCCTGGGGGGGTGGGCAAGGGCCCTTGCTTTGCTCGGGAGGACGCGTGAGGCAGCTCCGAGCGAAGGTAACCTTCTCTTTTGAAACAGCAAGATGGAATCGGGGAGGAGGTGCTCAAAATGTCCACGGAGGAGATCATTCAGCGCACACGGCTGCTGGACAGTGAGATCAAGGTGGGGCTGGAGCCCCCGGGCGGGCCTGGCCACCCTGCCCCTCTCCGTGGCTCTGGGTCCTCGAGAAAACAAATTTGCAAGCGAGCGGGAACCGTTGGACGGGGTTGGGGGTGGGGAGCCCCAGGGGTACAGACCGCCCTGCCCAGCGCTTCTCCACCTTCCCCAGCCGCGACCCTTTCATACCGTTCCTCGTGGGGTGGTGACTCCCCCAACCACAACATCATTTTCGTTGCTACTTCATCCCTGTCATTCTGCTACTGTGATGAATCGGGCGACCCCTGTGAAAGGGTCGTTCGACAACCCCCAGGGGTCGCGACCCACAGGTTGAGAACTGCTGCCAGAGAGGGAGGGGTCCTCAGCATTCCTCCCAGAGAAGAATTCCTTCTGGAATCAGCATTCCCGAACAGATGAGGGGGACCGGGATTTTAAACTGTGCCAGTTCTTATTACGAGACAGAACTTAAACATATATTCTTGCATGCTTCCATCGAACTCACTGCCAATGAGTCGTTTCCAACTCATGGTGACCCTATAGGACAGCGTAGACCTGCTCGTCTGGGTTTCCGAGACTAACTTCTCAGGAGGAAAAAGCTGCGTCTTTCTCCCCTGGAGAAGCAGGTGTTCTCGACTGCCGGCCTTCTGAGAACTTCACAAAGTTCTTGGAAAGATGCAAAGAAACGATCCTGAAATTAGTTACCAGCCAGTACTTTGGGAAGCCCACTTGCATTTGCCTAATTAGAAGGGCCTGGGCTTTTTCTGTTCTGCCACGACTTCACTAGGTTTCCACACTGACATGGGCCGGCCTGGGGGCGCCCCACAGCTGAGGGAAGGGAGGGGCACTGGATGGCCGGGACCTCCCTAGGTAGAGGGTGCTGCGAGGGCTGGACATGAACGTCGGCCCCGCTCGCCTGGCCTTAGATCATGAAGAGCGAGGTGCTGCGAGTCACACACGAGCTGCAGGCCATGAAAGACAAGATCAAGGAGAACAGTGAGAAGATCAAAGTGAACAAGACCCTGCCGTACCTGGTCTCCAACGTCATCGAGGTGTGTGTGGACGTGGAGGGGAAGAGGGCGCAGCTGGGGAGACGGGTGGACATTGGAGACCCACCTGGCATGCGGGAGCGCTCCTCCTTGGGGCCCTTTCCCTGCAACTTCTTGGGGAGACGGCCCTGGAAGCCTTGGGGTGCCTTTTCTGCCATGCTATCTTCCCTGGGGGTGCGTGGGTGTCAGTGAGTTCTGAAAGCAGCGGCACCTGAGCAGAGATCGCCTCCGTCCATCTACCTTATCAGCTGCCCTGCCTTGCTGGGCTCAGCTCGTTTTTGGAGCGAGGGAGGGATGGTCGGGGAGTGCTGAGAACCGTCTGGGGACCCAGGCAAAGCTCTGAGCTGAGGGAGGCCTCTTGACCTGAGCTTGTCCCTTGTCAGCTGCTAGATGTTGATCCCAATGACCAAGAAGAGGATGGTGCCAATATCGACCTGGACTCCCAGAGGAAGGGCAAGTGTGCAGTGATCAAAACCTCTACCCGGCAGGTGAGGCTGGCACAGCGATGGGGGCAGCTGATGGGTGTGGGGTTGCCAGCCACTGAATGCTACTCTCTGCCCTACAGACATACTTCCTGCCTGTGATTGGGTTGGTGGATGCCGAAAAACTGAAGCCCGGAGACCTGGTGGTGAGAGAGAGCTGAGCTTTTCCAACCAGGTTTTGCCCACTCACCAGCTGAGCACCTGTGGCCTCCTCGAGCCACCACAGTCTCAGCAGCGCTGAGAGTCGGGGGTGGGGGGGCAAGGGGGGCTGCCTTCTTGTCCTAGCTTCGCGTGTTGCCGAGCCCCGCGTGGCTCTCTTTCCACTCTAGACGCTTGTCACCTTGCCGGTTAGGTGAAGGCTTTGTCCTGTTCCCAGGGTGTGAACAAAGACTCCTATCTAATCCTGGAGACCCTGCCCACCGAGTATGACTCAAGAGTGAAGGCCATGGAGGTGGACGAGCGGCCCACAGAGCAGTACAGTGACATCGGGGGGCTGGACAAACAGATCCAGGAGGTGAGGGGGCGTCCTGAGAGAGATGGAGGGGTGCTGTAGCAGGTTAGGAGCAGCCCTAGAGAGATTGGATGGTGGCTGACTTGCCCAGGGCTGCATGTTATTGGTGCCAGAGCCGGTTCGAGAGCTCGGGCCCCTGCGTCTCAGCCTCGTATCTTCCCATCCTGCTCAATGGAGAGGCCATAGCCAGCTCTTGGTGGGGGAGAGCAGTTCCTCTGTCTCTTTGGTGGCCGGAGGAAGGCAGTGTCTGGACTGGGTCAGAGTAGAAGAGGGTAGGGGGCCGTAGGCACCCTCAGGGCTTGTATGCTCACCCACATCTTTCTGGCAGCTGGTGGAGGCCATCGTCCTGCCAATGAACCACAAGGAGAAGTTTGAGAACTTGGGGATCCAGCCTCCAAAGGGGGTGCTGATGTACGGGCCCCCTGGCACCGGGAAGACGCTGCTGGCCAGGGCGTGCGCTGCACAGACTAAGGTGACTGCTGTTGGGGAGGGAGGGGGAGGTGGGCAGGCGGGGCTGAAGCTCTGCTAGGTGGGCTGACGCGGGTCTCCTGGTACTCTGGGGCTCACCACCCCCTCCCTTCCCCACCCAGGCCACCTTCCTCAAGCTCGCTGGCCCCCAGCTGGTGCAGATGTTCATCGGGGACGGCGCCAAGCTGGTGCGGGATGCCTTTGCGCTGGCCAAGGAGAAGGCGCCGTCCATCATCTTCATCGACGAGCTGGACGCCATCGGCACCAAGCGGTAAGGGCATGCTGGGGCCCGCCACGAGTTCTGCCGCAGGGGCCCTGGGCAGGATGCTGGCCCTTTCGTGCCACAGTGGCCACTCCGTTCACACCACTCTCCTCACTGAGCTCTGGTGAGAGGCTCAACCGCATGTTTTTTTCAAAATAGAAGGATGCTCACGTTTCCTCCCACAAACTGGTCTGCTCTGCTCTGAACCCTTCCCTGGCCTCCCCATTGCTCCCAGGTACTCCTCATTGGGGTCTGCACTGGGGCCCCCATCCTGTCCCGCCCCCCCGCTGCTCCACTGTGTTCTCAGGATTTGAGCAAGGCTGCCTCTGCCTGTGGCTCTAGCAGGAGAAAGCGTGCTTTTGTTTTTCCCTGGTTTTCCACCGACCTTCTCAGCCTTCAGCCTCAGTGTGTTTCCCCCTAGGGGTCACTTCCTGCCTGGACGCCAACCCTCACTCTGGGCCAGGTGGCTGCTCCTTCCGAAGCGTTTACTTGGTGGGGACTGGGTGACAGTGCCCGCGGTGGTGGTGGTGGCAGCGGCAGTTGCTCCGTTGTGTCCTTAGAATGGCCTCTGAGCCAGAAGGCCCTTGATGAACAGTTCCTGACACGGGCTCTGGCAGGGTAGAGAAGCGGGTGGCTCTGCCCAGCTGGGCTGACCTGTGTCTGGGCTTCCCGCCTTCAGCTTTGACAGTGAGAAGGCCGGGGACCGGGAGGTGCAGAGGACGATGCTGGAGCTCCTGAACCAGTTAGATGGCTTCCAGCCCAACACTCAAGTCAAGGTGAGGACTGCCCTGAGCTCCCAGAGGAGCAGGCCCTCTGCAGGGTCACCCAGCGATTATGCACGGGGCTGGAATTAGTCCAGGTCCAACCAGAACGCTGCCCCTCCCTGTCTCTCTGGACCCTGTCTGGATGTGGCTGTACCCCTTCCCCCTCAGCTCAAGGTGGGTGTCTCTTCCTCAGGTTATTGCAGCCACCAACCGGGTGGACATCCTGGACCCCGCCCTGCTGCGCTCGGGGCGCCTGGACCGCAAGATTGAGTTCCCGATGCCCAATGAGGAGGCCCGGGCCAGGATCATGCAGATCCACTCTCGCAAGATGAACGTCAGGTGGGCCCATTTCCCCAGCCTCACTGCTCCCCTGCTCCCCAAGCCCCATGCTGGGGGCTCTGCACCTTGGAATCCACACAGCCTGAGGGCCCGAGGCCCTGAAGCTGGGCCCATTGTGGCCCCAGGGAGCCAAGGGGTCAGACCTCTGTCGGGTGGTGTCATGTCTCTGAGCAGGAGCCGCAGAGAAGACCATCTTTGGTCTCAGGGCCCATTTGGTCAGATGGTAGCTTAGTCTAGAAGGCTGGAGCTCAGGGAGCTCTGTGTAACTGGGAGCCTGCCCATCTGTTCCGGGGCTACAGGGCTTGCCTGTGGTCCCGGGAGCGGAGGGTCAAGTGGGAGAAGACTTGCCCCTGTGAGTGAGCCACCCTCTCCCCGCAGTCCCGATGTGAACTATGAGGAGCTGGCCCGCTGCACGGACGACTTCAATGGGGCCCAGTGCAAGGCCGTCTGTGTGGAGGCGGTGAGTGGACTCATTGGGGGTGGCTTCTTGCCCTTTCCCTGGGCCTGGCGGGTGATGGGCTCACTGAGAAGGCGAAGCCCAGTGTGGGAAGGTGCCCTCTAGCTTGTCCTGTGTCCTGTGGCTGTAGGGTATGATCGCGCTGCGCAGGGGCGCCACGGAGCTCACCCACGAGGACTACATGGAGGGCATCTTGGAGGTGCAGGCCAAGAAGAAAGCCAACCTGCAGTACTACGCCTAGACCAAGTAATAAAGATGGCTTCCGGTCCCCACCATCTGTCTGTCTTGCTGCCCTTGGCTCCGGGTAGGAGAGGGGCTGGATGCAGGAGGCCCCAGGTCCCCGGAGCCCCTCAGGCAGTCTGGCCACACACCAGTTGTTGCAGGAGGCCCTTTGGGGGAGATGGGAGTGGTGGTGCAGCTGCTGGGGAAGGGCGCGGGGTGGGGGTGGGCTTAGCTGTTAGAGGCCCTAGAGAGAAGCCGACTTCTCCCCCTTTGGGCCGGAGCCTCCTGGCTCTCATGTATCCCCTGGGTTTGATCAGAATATCCTGAGCAGGAGCCACTCTGAGAGCCCGTCTAGCCTTGTCTTTATCGGGGAGGTGTTTTCAGACCCCCCAATGCTGCCATCTCTGCCCCCACCCCCAGAACCTTTACTGCCCACCCAACTCTGCAGCTCTGCCTGGGCCTGGGCACCATTGTTGGAGGTGACTCTGGGTGACACGCTGGGCCTCTCCCACGTGCTTTTATGTAGTGACCACAGTAACCAGTCTCATGGTTGATGCTGACCCCATAGTGACCCACAAGGACAGGGCAGAATTGCCCTGTGAGTTTCCAAGACTGGCTCTCTCCGTGGGGGTAAAAAGCCCATCTCCCCCAAGCAGCCAGCTCATGGTTTCCAGCGACTGCTCTCTTGGACTGCAGCTCAGTGGGCCACCACTGTGCCCCAGGGCTCAGAGAGTCACCAGTAGGGAGCCCATATTGAAAGTCGTTCGCATCAGCCCCTCAACCAGCAGCCACCAGTTCTCGAGATTCTGGGAAACGGCTCCGTGGGTTTCCCGTGGCTGACTTTGGAAGTAGATTCCCGGGTCTGTCTTCTGAAAGGCCTGGGTCCATGCAGCCAGCTGACTACTTGCACCAAATACGGAGTCCAGACCCAGACAAGGTGGCAGTTGCCGGTGGCACTGTCAGGATTGAAACCTAGGATGGAGGCTAAAGCCTAGTCCTCCCATTGTGACTTCCAAAGGGTCTGGGGTTTCCGGAAAGGCCATCGAACCCTTCAGCCCACACCCCCCAGCCCAAACCTCCTCCTCTCTCCTTTCCCCAAGTGGACCTGATGCAGGACTCTCACCAGTCCACATCCTGTGTGCTGGCCCCTGGCCAGCAGCGTCCGCATCCTATCTGCTGATGCCTGTCCACCTGTTCAAGGCCAGCAGTGTGGTCTGAGGTTCCATCCCCTGCCCCAAGCTGGGCCCCCACCTGTGTTGCCTGTTCTGTCTCCTCTAGGCTGTGGCCCGAGAATGACTTAAACTGGTCCCCACCTCTCAGCTTCCTCACCTGTAAGTGGGGTCCCCGCCCATTACTTCTGAGTCAGGAGTTGGCAGGCACTGCCTTCCTGCACCCCGTGGCCAGGGGAAGCAGCCTTCGGGACCCTTCAAAGCGCTTTGCTGCTGACAGTGGAGTATGGGCAGATTGGGCTTCCCCGGACCAATTCCCAGCTCAGTCCACAGCCCTGTGGGAGGCAGCGCCCCCAGGGCCTGGTAGAGTCTTTACAACCAGCAGTAGAGGAGAGGTGTGGTTTACAATAAAGGCCTCAAATACTTGCTCTTCAAAGTTAAGGGCCCATAGTTTTATCTTTTAAAATGTTTCTTTTGGGAAATAAAACATTTGCCATTACGTCTCTTTGTCCTTTTTAGAGGCGCCCCGTCCTAGGGCGTGGTGCCCAGGGAAGCCAAGTGCTGGGCTGGCTGCCCTCTCCTCCCTTTTTCTCCGGAGCTGCCAAGGCCAAACCTGGAGATGACGTTGCCCACGGGGCTTCCTTCTAGATTCCATTCCCAGGGGGTGGGGCCAGGAGAGCCCAGCTCTGAGTTCTTTAAAAGGAGCTCGCCCCCCTCCCTACCCACCCCACCCCAAACCACCACCACCACTGGGTGGGGAGGGCCTGACTGTGCCCAGGGCCCAGCTGGAAGCGAAGGGGCCCAGCCATCACGGCTGAAAAGCAAACAACAGTGCTGGAGGAATGACGGGATTTCGGGGGCAGCCAGGGGACAGGCCTGGAGGTGGCCTGTGGCCACTGGGCAGCAGGAGGACAGAGGCAGCTGGCTCGTGGGTGGTATTTATTTGCATCTCTTCTAACAGTTATTTACAAGTAGAATTGCTATAAAAGCCCCTCTTGAAGGCCACTTCTGAGAACCGACCCCTGGGACCAGCCGAGCTTGAGCCGCCCAGAGTGGGCCAGCTGAGTCCCTGGGCGCCCGCCAACGGAAATGGCTGGGGATTGTGGCTTCAGCTTTCTCCCGGAGGAGGCACACATTCCTGAGCGCTGACAGAGGGTGGCCTGGTGGGTGTGCTGGGCCCCAGCCGCTGGCAGGAGTGTCTCGGCTGGTGCCTGCTGCGCTGGTCTCTGGCCCGGGCCTCTGTTTGGCAGCCGGAGGTGGCCGGAGCGGTAGGTGCTGGCAGGGAGCCCTGGCTGGGACCCAGGCGCTGGCCGAGGGGGTGACGAGCGGAGCGGGCTGGGGGTTCGCGTGAGCACCGGCCTCCTCTCTCTTCTTGGGCCACCAAGGGGAAGGCCTTGGAGGTGGTGGCTGGCTGGGAGCAGCAACGCAGGCACCCACCTGGCCTTGCCCCTTCACTGCCCAGAACCTGTGCTCAGAAGCAGAGAGTCTTCTGCTCTCAAGACTTGAACCCTCGCAGGTGGCTGGCCAGCTGTGGGGCTCCCTGCAGCACAGGCCTCCCCTTGAGGTCCCAATGGGTCCCGCTGCAGGACCCCCTGCTGTGCACCTCCCTGGGGAGGTGATCACTGACAGGCGCCGGAGGCCAGGTGTGGCTCCAAGCCTAGCACACGTGGGATCACAGTGTCGGTCTCACACACACACACACACACACACACGCACGCACCTCTGCAGAGTACACGTGCACACGCCACACCCCACTGCCTCCCGCCCGCCTGTCTGGCTGGGGTGTGTCCTCCCGCACGCGCCCACTCTCTCACACGTGGTCACAGAATGAGCCCAAGTCTCTTATTGCTCTGGGGGTGGGGTGTCCAGCGGGCTAGTCGGCCAGGAGGGAGAAGAGCACCATCACCACGACGCCCGTGCCCAGCAGGAGCACCTGCAGCAGGGAGTGCCTGCGGGGACAGGGGCGTGGGCTCAGGGTAGAGGCCGGGCCACCAGCGGGGGGAGCCCTGCAGGCCTGCCACTCACCAGGGGTCCTCTTCCTCCAGGAGGTCCGGCACCACGTTCACCAGCGCGATGTAGAGGAAGCCCCCGGAGGTGAAGGGCAGGATCCAGGCCACAGTCTCCTCTGCACGGGGATGGGAAAGGAGAGGCAGGGGCGGTCACCTGCTGGCTGGGAGCTGTGAACTGGCAATCCTGCATTGTGGTTGGGGTCTGGGGTCCCAATGCTGAGCACCTCCTGCTACTGCCACCCACCACTCTGTACCTGCGCCCTTGGGGGACTGTGTCCAGATGGCGAAGCAGGCCCCTAGTAGGCCCCCCAGGGCCGTGGAGAGCTGCAGCTTGGCGGCGCTCCACCGGTCAAAGCCTGCCCGGAGCAGGATGGCAAAATCGCCCACCTGAGGAGAGGTGCAGCCATCCATTCGGGACCACCCCCTTTCTCGCAGCGTGTCCCCTGCCCTGCCCAACCCTGCCCACATCCCATCATCTGGGTCTCAGTGTTGAGGAGGCTGGGGGATGGCCAGGGCAGGGCTGCAGCCCTGTGGGTAGGCGCTCCCGGCCTACCCAAGCCCTCACCTCGTGGGGGATCTCATGCAGGAGGATGGCCATCGTGGTCAGCAGCCCGATCTGTAGGAAGGGGCTGAGGTCAGAGGAGGCCTGTGTGATGGCCCGAAGCTCTGGGCTGGACACTGCACTGGCTGCTGGGACTACAGAACCCACTGCCAGGGGCTGTCTCTGCCCATAAAGAACCAGCCTCGGAAACCCACAGGGGCAGTGCTTCCCTGGCCTGTAGGGTCGCTATGAGTCGGCATCGACTCAATGGCAGTGAGTTTGGTTTTACTTCAGTCACGTAAGGTTTCCAAGGCTGTACGTCTTTACTGTGGGAGCTAATGACCTCATCTTTCTCCCATGCAGTGACTGGTGGGTTTGAACCGCTGACCTTGAGATTAGCAGTCCACTGCTTACCCGACAGCGCACCTGTGGTTCCTACTGGGAATATAGTAACGAGTAAAAGAAAGGACCTGCCCTCGTGACGCGTACAGGCTGGGCAGAAGATACAGGATTGAGTGGGTACACAAAGAAGGGAGTGGTTATGCGCTGGGCACCAGTGCATGGCTAACGGGGCCTCGTTAGATTGTAGCTCATTGCAGGCCTCGATGAGGCAGCCAGGGCCAGGGCTGCCGGAAGAGGGGCAGCCCTGCAGAGTGGGCCTCAGGGAGTCCAGGCAGAGGCAGTGGGGGGCGGGGCAGGAGTGCGGCCGTCTCTGGAAGAGCAGGTCAGCCCAATGAGGCCGGAGCCCAGAGGGCAGAGAGAGAAGCATCTAGAAGCGGAGTGGGGCCAAGTCCAGCAGCCTGGCTGGCTTCTCTTGGATTCTGGGAAGCCATGGAGGGTTTTTTAGGAAACGCATGTGACCCACAAGGAAGGAGTGACAAGACCAGACCACGGGCACAGGGAGCCTGGGGCGGCCTCTGGGAAGCAGAGGAGGGCGGGGCCTTAGAAGAGGGTGTCGGCGCTCTGGCTAAGTCATGAAGAAGGCGGGGTGGAGACGTGGTTTGAACGTAGAACCAACTCGTTGACACTGGCACCGTTGTTCCCACTAGCAAGGCCTGAGACCCCACTTCCTAGTCCTTCCCCCCCCTTCCACCAGCTCACCTTCTTACTCACGAGGAAGCTGGCAGCCACCGCCAGCCCGTGAGTGAAGTTGTCTATAGTGTTGGCCAGCAGGTTGAGATAGCCACTGACCTGGGTGAGAGGAGAGGGCGCTGGGCCAAGCTGGGCAGGCAGGGCTGGGCCGGGCCAGCCACGTGGAGGTGGGGGTGGGGGTACGAGGGGAGCTCTAGGAGGAGGGGGCCTGAGCGGGCCACTCACTTTGCTGCTACGGATGGGTTGTAGGCCAGGCTGGGCCACACAGTGGCCTCCGTTAAGTGCAGGGGCGGCAGCAGTGGGGTCTTTGCTGGGGGCCTGGAGCCAGGAGGAGGGAGAAGTGACATTAGGTAGCCCCACCCCTGCCAGAGTAGGCACAGAAGAGGAGACGGAAGCAGAGCACACAGGCTTTTTATGGCTAGATGTCTCTGTAGCGCCATCAGCCACTACATCTCCTCCCTCCTGCTGCTGCTAGCACCAGTCTCATCAGGGACTGCTGTCATTGTTCTTTAGATGCCCCCTGAAGAAGCTGGGCCTGTGAGACCCCAGCCCCCGTGCCCTGCCACAGATGGGGGGGGTGGCATCGCCAGGGGCTACGTTTGGGGCTCACCTGGCCTGGGCCCTCCTGCTTGCCATCCACGAACACCTTCTCCAGCACCAGGAAGGTCAGGAAGCCAGCAATGACCCACAGCCCCAGCTGTTGCTGCTGCTGTAGACGCTGCCCCTCACCGTCTGCAAGGGTGGCACGGTCAGGCCAAGCCAGGGCCACAGGTGTGGAGACAGCTTGGGATGGAGCCTGGTCCAGGGCAGTGATGGGGCCCACGGGCCAGGGCTGGCTGGAAGGGCCCAGAGGCTCTGGGGGTCCCTCTGGTACCCAGCGTGGGGACCCGGGTGCCTCTCAGTCTGGGAACCAGCTCCAAGCCTACCTTCCCACCCAAGGCTGCGGCCTCACTCACCGGGGCTGGCACTGCATGTGTAGGCCCAGGCCTCGGGCAGCAGGTGTAGAAACACATTGCCCAGCAGGCCCCCCAGGGCGAAGCTGAGCAGCTGCTTCAGGCGCCGGGCCCCAGCTGCAAGGCAGAGTGGGGTGGCTTGGGGCCCATCGGCCACCCAAGCCCCTCGCAACCTCTGTCCCACCCACCTCACTGGGTTTTCCTGTTGTCCCCACCAGACCATGAGTCTCCAGAAGGCCGGGCAGGGGCCATGAGTCTCCCCAGGCCCCCATCACAGAGGCCACACCTTGATGGTTGGGAGCACCACCTCCACCCGCCTGTGGGGACCCTGCCACCTGACAGGCTCTATAACTGACTCGCCAGCTGGGGATTTTGGGCAGAGAAATTCTGAGACTCAGTTTCCCCGTCTCCTGACTGGGGAAGACCACACTGGCAGTTCTGTCTGTCTACTCCTGTAAAGATTTCAACTCACTGCCAGGGAGTCGAGGCTGACTCACGGCGACCCTGCAGGACAGGGCAGAACTGCCCGTGAGTTTCCGAGACCGTTACTGCTCATGGGAGCAGAGAGCCTCCTCTGCCCTCCCTCGGGGCTGCTGGTGACCTTGAGCTGGTGACTCCACCACCCGGGGCTCCGAGGCAGCAGTCCTGCTCTGTCCTGTGGGGGTCACTGAGTCTAAGTGGAAGGAGCGGCACGGGTGGGGTGGGTTCGGGACCTCTGACAGGGACCGTGCCCAAAACAAAGAAAGACCCATGAACTGGGAGGGAACTGCTGGCCTCAGAAAAGGGGCAGCTCAGTTGGTGGCCTTCTGCTAACTCACACAGCGCTAGAAGTGCCCTTAAGAGACCAGTCCAGCCTTTGTTTGGATAGGGAAACTGAGGCCCAGGGAGTCTGCTTGGTGCTAGTTGGGGCCCCAGGCTGGGTGGCCAGGGGCTGCTCAGAGAACCCATGTTCCCCCAGGCCTCCCTCCCTGACCTCTGGGCTGATCCGAGAAGGGTGTGGCATGACATCAGGCTTAAGAGGACTCAGGCCAGCTGTCCCCAAGCTGAGCCCACGGCTGGCCCAGGACTGAGCTACCCAGTAACCAGAGAGGCTGCCTCCCGGGCCTGTGGCCCAGCCTAAGCCCCCAGGTGCTCCTTATCAACACCCCAGCCCCGCCCCGCCCCCAATGCAGACCTACTATGTCACACTCCTGGACTTGAACCCATCGGCCTGGGTTCTCATGTTTCCCACCTCTACTTGGCGCTGCTCCTTGGGGACCGTTAGAGGAACGGAAAGGGCAGTCCACGTACTAATGGACGAGCAGACGCGCAGGGGCGTCTCAGGAGTCCAAGGGGAGAAACCTGACTCTGCCTCCACCCTCCGTCTCAGACACCCTGTCACCCAAGACCAAGAAGAGCGGCAGTATTCCCTGCCGCCCCCCCACCCCCACCCCCAGCCCCGGCCATTGGTGGCCACTCTGGGGCACTCAGAGAATGACACCCACCTTCTGAGCGCAGAGCAGTGCCCATCTCCAGGGGAATGACGAGCAGGGGCAAGACCCCGCTGAGGCCCACCATGAGCGAGCCCAGGAGGGAGCAGATCCAGGTGTCCAGCCTCTCCCCACTCAGCAGCGTCCCCCAGGACTCGCTCTCTTTGTCGTCCAGGCGACAGGCTGCAGCCCCCTGGCCCCAGAAGGCTGCCTGGGAGCCCCCAGCCCCTGCCAGGAGTTCCAGGGCCAGCGTGGAGAGGAGGAGGAGCCTGTGGCCCGCCATGCCACCACACGGGCAGGGACATTGAGGCATGCCACTTGCTGAAAGACAGAGGGCAAGGAGGCAGCTGCACCCCTGGCTACTCGCTTGCCGCGCAGAAGTGGGCTCTCACCCTCCTCTGGCCAAGGGGCCACGGCACAGCCCTCCCGGCACCCTGGCCCAGGGCACCCCTGGATGGATGGGAATGTCCGATATGATGCTGAGGGGTGGGCTCCGGAGCCTGCCCCAGCTGGTGTCAGCCTTCTCCTGGGGCGAAGCTTCTCTTAATGACAGGGTGCGGTGCTGGCTGGCTTCTCCTCAGCCACCGGCTGGCCCGGCCCTGCCGGGTGTATCTGGCTGCCAAGGATCCGCTTAGCTGCCAGGATGTGCCTGGTGAGGACACTCCGGGGACAGAGGCCAGCACTGTCCAGGTGGATGGGGCAGCGTAAGGAGGGGCAAGTAGGGGGACCCCAGCAACGGAGCAAAGGCAGGATCATCAAAGTTCCCACCACCTAGGAAATGAACCCAGGATGTGCGTGGGGTAGAAGGGGGCGTGGAGGGTGCAGGGAGAAGGTAGGACTGGGCAGGGAGGTGCTGGCAAATGCCAGACAGATGCTCAGAACACAGGACAGGGGTTACCTTTGTGCCTGAGCTCGGGCAAGCCCCCCAAGCCCTCTCGGAGGGTGGGGACTGGCATGCCCCCACTCCTGTAAAGAGGATGCGTAAGGCAGGTGAGCCCCCCACCCCACCCCTACAGGGAGAGACCCTCCTCTCTCAGGGGGTGGGGGCAGCACCCTCAGGGCCTGACGCCCGGCTTTGGAAGTGAGTCAACCAAGCGAGAAGTCGCTGTCTGGAAACTTTAGGGGGGGGGGGTTGGCGGTAGCTCTGCCCTCCCTCGGGGCTGCTGGTGACCTTGAGCTGCAGCTGCCCTGCCTCAGTTTCCTCATCTGCTACTGGAGGCGGCAGGAAAGGAAAGAAACCGCCGCCGCCCGTTTCCCCAGAAACGATGCTCGGGTCTGGGACCTCCAGACCGTACTGGGACGTCAGACCCTGATGAGAGCGGCTGGGGACGAGCGGCGGGACGGGCCAGGGCCGGCTGGGGGGACAGACGGTGCTGGGGACCCCGAGGTGTTGGGGACTCCGGGCTCGGGGGAGAGGAGGGCAGGCGCAGAGCCTGGGCCAGGCGGCAGCGGAGCGCGGGAGGTGGCGAGAGCCCTAAGTGGGCACAGGGGCCAAGATCCCCGGGGCGGCGGG